GCGGTAGCAGAACTACGTATTAACGGCGGGCATTTGCATCAAGCCGAAAGGATTCGCATCGAGGAACCGACTCTGGCTTCGCGACTACATTCATCCAGCGACGAACCCGAATATCCGGCCACGATCCGGCGAAGACTTGACGACCGTTAATTCCTGTCAATATCATTCCTTATTACCACCGGTTCATTCACGCTATTTGAGACTGCCATGATGAACGGTTGGGACGAGAAGCAGCACCTGGACGACGATGCCTTTGGGGCGAAGGGGAACATCGTCAGCGCCTTCGATGCCTTTCGTAAGTTGCCAATCTTCCGAATACAAGCCCTTTCCTCAGTGCCGCTGCCTTTCATTGTGGCGGGCAAGATTGGCGGAATAGTAATGTGCTAACAGTCCTGTCTCAGCCAAGGCGAAACCGCAATATGTGACGCGTACGGCTGGCGGCGGAAAGTGGACTGTCGCGATGACGGTCATTTCAGTCTTCCTCTTCTGGTCTGAACTCGGTCGCTGGTGGCGTGGTACCGAGACGCACACCTTTGCCGTGGAAAAGGGTGTACTGCACGAGATGCAGATCAACATGGATATTGTCGTGCGCATGCACTGCGATGACCTTCATATCAACGTTCAAGATGCGGCGGGTGATCGTATCCTCGCAAGCAGTATGCTCAAGCGCGACAAGACGAACTGGTCGCAGTGGGTGGACAGCAAGGGCATTCACCGCTTGGGAAGAGACAGCAAGGGCAAGATTGACACCGGCGCCGGCTGGCAGGAGGAGGAGGGTTTCGGGGAGGAGCACGTCCACGACATTGTGTCGCTCAGTAAGAAGAGGGCTAAATGGGCCAAGACACCCAGACTCTGGGGCGACGGCGACAGCTGCCGCATCTACGGCAACTTGGACGTGAACAGGGTGCAGGGTGACTTCCACATTACTGCCAGGGGCCACGGCTACATGGAGTTTGGAGAGCACTTGGATCATGCCGGTAAGTCAATCATCTCGGGCTTGAATCTTGACGCGCTGGCTTACAATTTCATGCAGCTTTCAACTTCTCGCACATCATCTCGGAGATGTCCTTCGGTCCATTCTACCCCTCGCTTGTGAACCCCCTGGATCGCACGGTCAACCTCGCCAGGATCAACTTCCACAAGTTCCAGTACTACTTGTCCGTGGTTCCTACCGTCTACTCTGTCGGCCATTCGTCGTCCAACCTCATCTCTACGAACCAGTATGCCGTCACGGAACAGAGCAAGGAGACCGATGACCACAACATCCCCGGTATCTTCTTCAAGTACGACATCGAGCCCATTCTGCTATCTGTGGAAGAGTCCAGAGACGGCTTCCTCCAGTTTTTGATGAAGATTGTCAACGTTATCAGCGGTGTTCTCGTTGCCGGCCACTGGGGTTATACCCTCACCGAATGGTACAAGGAGGTCATGGGCCGGCGGAGAAGAGAGAGAAGCGAAGGCTTCATTGGCACGAAGAGCTCAGAGTATGATCAGTAGAGCAGTATATGGCATCGACGGATGGGAACAAAGTGACATAGGAGTTCAAGGGTTGTGTATAGATAAGCATCTGGGATAGGGGAAATTGTTTATTTGCATCGATTATACCGTCTGAAATTCGGCCAGCAGGAAAGTTGACAAGCCAGAGGTTCATACCAAATCTATTCTACAGATATGTTGGTGACATTACCACCGAAGTGAGCACCTCGGCGAGGCGGCTCCGAGCTGGACCGTCCGGGTTGACCGTGCAGGTTGACTGTGCAGGGGCATTACCTCGGCGCAGCTATTCCCGGTGTAGTTTTCGGAGCGAAGCCGGCAGTGCAGGGATGGAGCCTTTAACCTCCACTAGGTGTAAACTTCCCCCGGACTCTTGCACCGGCTTTTCAATTGAGTCTTTCCAATTGGATCCAATGTGCCGATGTCGCCAACAGTCAACCCAAAAAATTCCACATCACACCCCGCCACCAAGTTCGACTCACAGTTTCCGGTGGGAGGTGCTCAGTGACGATGGCACCAATTGAGCTTGCCAGTCGATCAGGAGGCGCCGCGAGGGTGAGGAATTACTGCATTTCAATCAGTGAGGAGAGAAAAGAGAAACTGACGAAACTATAGCGGCTTCTGACTCGCACACGACCATGCCTTTCTGCATTCTCGAGCCTGCCGATCAGGAGGACATTCGCGACCGCCCAGGACGTCGAGCAGCAAGACGCTGAGATGCGCAAGCTGCTCCCCAAGTCTATCAAGCCCAACGCATACCGCAGACTTCACGACAACCTCCTCAAGGTTCGCCATGTCCTCGGACAGCAGCGCCTCACCCTCGCCGAAAAGATCCTGTACAGTCATTTGGACAACGTCGAGGACTCGCTTCTCACGGACACGGACAATGGACGCAACATCCGCGGCAGTGCCAACCTCAAGCTTAACCCGGACCGAGTCAACATGCAAGACGCATCGGCGCAGATGGCGTTGCTGCAGTTCATGTCCTGCAACCTCGCCAAGCCGGCCATTCCTGCCAGCATCCACTGTGACCACTTGATTGTGGGATCCAAGGGCGCTGACAAGGACTTGACGGACGGTATCAGTGTCAACAAGGAGGTGTTCGATTTCCTCGAGTCTGCCGGGCGCAAGTATGGCATGGACTTTTGGCCCCCTGGTGCAGGCATTATTCACCAGACGGTTTTGGAGGTCTACGCTCTTCCGGGTATCATGATGCTGGGGACCGACAGCCACAGCCCTAACGCTGGTGGCCTGTCTACTATTACTATTGGAGTTGGTGGTGCCGATGCTGTGGAGGCCCTTGTCGGCGCTCCCTGGGAGCTGAAGGCCCCTCGTGTGCTCGGTGTCAAGCTGACCGGCAAGCTCAACGACTGGGTGTCCCCCAAGGACGTTATTCTCAACCTGGCCGGCAAGTTGACTGTGCGCGGCGGAACCGGATTTATCGTCGAGTATTTCGGCGAGGGCGTCGAGACTCTTAGCGCCACCGGAATGGCCACCATTTGCAACATGGGTGCCGAAGTCGGCGCCACGACCTCCATCTTCCCCTACACGGCCGCCTCTGAGCGCTATCTCCTTCAAACCCGCAGACAAGCCGAACACAAGGCTCTGGATGCGTACAAGAAGTGGTCAAGCTTCAACTTCAGAGCTGATGAGGGTGCTCAGTACGACCAGGTCATCGAAATCAACCTTTCCGAGCTGGAGCCCCACATCAACGGCCCCTTCACCCCCGACTTGGCTACTCCCCTGTCCGCCTTCAAGGAGACCATCCAGACCGAGCAATGGCCCGAGGTCTTGTCGGCCGGTCTCATTGGCAGCTGCACCAACAGCTCCTACGAGGACATGACCAAGGTTGAGAGCATGGTCAAGCAGGCTGAGAAGGCCGGCTTGAAGCCCAAGGCACCCTTCTACATCACTCCTGGCAGCGAGCAGATCCGCGCTACTCTCGAGCGTGATGGCACTCTGAAGACTCTGGAAGGTGCTGGAGGCATCGTTCTCTCCAACGCTTGCGGCCCCTGCATCGGCCAGTGGAAGCGCCAGGACGACATCCCCAAGGGTCAGCTGAACGCCATCCTGACATCGTACAACCGCAACTTCAAGGGCCGTAACGACGGCAACCCCGGCACCATGAACTTCCTCGCCTCCCCTGAAATCGTCACCGCCATGGCCTACGCCGGCGCGACCACCTTCAACCCCATGACGGACAGGCTGCAGACCCCCGACGGAAAGGAGTTCAAGTTCGAGGCCCCCCACGGCCTGGAGAACCCCAAGACCCCCTTCGAGTCCGGCGTCGCGTCCCTCCAGTCCATCTCGCCCGACGAGCCCAACGCCGACGTCGAGATCGCCATCGCCCCGACCTCGGAGCGCCTCGCCTTCCTCGAGCCCTTTGCGCCCTTCCCCGAGAGCGACCTGAGCGGCCTCAAGGTCCTCGTCAAGGTCACCGGAAAGTGCACCACCGACACCATCTCGGCCGCGGGCCCCTGGCTCAAGTACAAGGGCCACCTGCCCAACATTAGCACAAACACGCTCAACACGGCCGTGAACAAGGAGACGGGCGAGGTCAACGCCGCCTACGACGTCGACGGCTCCAAGCACACCATCCCCGAGCTCGCGCAGCTGTGGAAGGAGCGCGGACAGGAGTGGCTCGTCGTCGCGGAGCACAACTACGGCGAGGGCAGCGCGCGCGAGCACGCCGCACTGCAGCCGCGGTACCTCGGCGCCCGCGTCGTGCTGACAAAGTCGTTTGCGCGCATCCACGAGACCAATCTCAAGAAGCAGGGTGTCGTGCCCCTGACTTTCGAGAACGAGGGCGACTATGACAAGATTGCGGCGTGCGACGAAGTCAGCACCGTTGGGTTGTACGAGATGCTGCAGAACGGCGGGCAGGGCAAGGTGCAGCTGCTCGTCAAGAAGAAGGACGGCTCCGAGGTGTTGATCCCGACTGCGCACGCTGTTACCAAGGACCAGGCCGGGTTCATTCTCGCGGGTAGCGCTCTGAGCATGCTTGCCAAGCGTAACCAGGCTTGAGAGTATGTTGGATCAGAAGTGTTTTCTTGATATTGGGGACTTTTTGTTCTCGTTTTGTTTTCTTGTATGGGTCTTGTGGTTTTAACAAAAGGCGAAAAGAGGTGAAGACAAAAATTCCGACGATTGTATATATCCCGCAGCGTCATTCTCCATTGCCGGGATATTTTAGAGCAGCCAGGGCGTGTATCACAGAAGAGAAGAAAATGATTTGGGAATTGGACTCTGCTGGAGCCGCTTGAATGTGATTATCATGTAGTAGAATTGCGCTCGCAGTCACGAATAAGCAACATATGCTGATAAATCCGACGAGAGTCTTTTTCTCGTCTACCCGCTTTCCCCTCTAGACTCACACACGGCACCGGGGCTCACTGATTTTGACTGGGGAGCAATCTCCTAGATCTACGCTGCGTGAAGCAAATTCATCCTCGTTAAATGGAGTCACGGGCTTTGATCCGGCAAATACCATTACCGAAATACATCGACTCCCATGAAGCACACAGCCAGCCGCCTTGCCTTTTCTAGGCTATGAGAGAGGGGATCTCCAGGCGGGCTTTCACGTCAGAATTGTTTGCATAGAGATTTCAGCCTGACCTTGAGATGCGCTGGACAGAGAGCAGGCACGCAAGGTGGACGAGGATTGATGACTCCGCTCCAGCGTCCAAATCTGCATCGCCAGAAAATGTTTCTGGTTAATACCGGGCGTTTAGCTCAGTGGTAGAGCGCCCGCTTTGCATTCCTTCAGCGCCTGCGGGAGGCCCAGGGTTCAATCCCCTGATCGTCCATTATTTTGTCCACTTGGGTGCATCTCCGTGGAAAGTAAACTTTTGGGGACTCGTTTTGTTTTAACCTCGTGTCATTCAGACGAGAGTGATGACATCGCGAGCCACGCCGTCAAAAAGCTTCACTTCGTTCGTGTCCTTCAAGGCCCCCTGCTCGAAACGACACGCCAACCCGCCTGAAGATGTCAGTCCCGGGTTCCACCCTCTCGAGGACGATGAAGCCATGATACGGACGGGCATCGATCGCCCTTGTTCCACGTCTTTCCCACCAGCATGCAAGAATACCGAGCAACCGATCCTGCATAGTCGCAGATCATGGTGTACCTATTCGCCTTCGTATCCACGAGGTCGTACCTGACGCCTTCCGTAAACCCCATCATCAAATCACCGTCTTGTATCTCTGTAGTCGTGATCTCGAGGCCGTGTACAATAGCCCCGTGCACCACGATGCTGGCTCCCTCGCAGACTTGACCGTACATATCTTCCGCCATGAGAGGTTCTACCCGGACATCCAACACCTCCAAATCACCTTTGAAGTGCGACATGGGATGGAACATGACGGGCCCCTCAATGGCCGCCCAGCTCCAGCTCGGCGCCCTCCACTTCCCAGGCCGTCGCGAGACGGTCTCGGGATTACGCCAGTAATCGTCGTCCGCGGTCCAGAGCAACTGCGTCGCGAAGTCTCCCTCCCACAAGCCGGCAATATACCGGTTTCGCTGATGGTCTTCCTGTCGTCCACCGTACACGTCCTCGTGCATCAGCCGGAACTGCTTCGCCATCCCAGACAGCGCCGGCAGCCGGTCCGCGTCGAAGCTGATGGACCGCTCCGAGAAGAGCTGAACGACCTGCCGCCACTGCAGATACGCCCTCTCCGCCAACGACAGCGCCCGGAACAGCTCCGGCGAGCGGAAACACCGGACCGACTCCTCGTCGAGCTCGACGGGTTGGTCGCGGCGGCAGGCGCAGCAGCGCGAGGTGTTGCACTCCCAGACGAGCTCGTTGGTCGTATAGTGCAGCGTTCTATTCGACAGGATCGCCTCCTGCAGCGTCCACGCACGCTTAATGATGGGCTCCCCGTGTGCCCCTTCCGCCTCGATGGTCCGGAGAAGGACGGTGATGTCGTTGTGTTTCCTCTTCAGCTCGTCGCGGACGTAGACTGGCCGCACGACGCCGTCCCCGAGCTCGTCGAGGCGCTGCGGCGGGACGCCAAAGGCCTGGGGCGCAAAGATCCCGACGCCGCTCCCGTCCGCGTGGTCTACGGAGATGGTCACCGTCGCGTTGGAGTAGACCTCGCACATCCGGCCCGCCTCCCTGGCCCAGTCTTGGGCGTCGCCTTGGATGATGCAGAGGGCGTCGATCCACAGGTACTGCAGCCCTAGGTTTCTGGTGGCGGCGACGGCGTTCCGCAGGGTCGGGGGCATGTCGGCGTATGGCATGGCATCTTGGTGCGCGGCGAAGTTGAGGCGGGTGGTCTTGAAGGCTGGGTGGGAGGCTGGATCGCCCAAGCAGTAGCTTAACGCTGCGTATGCGCCGGAGGCCCCGCGGGACTCTACGAGGCGCGGCTCGTGGTGGTCTTCGTTGGTTCCGACGTCGATTACGCGGGTCGGGAGGGTCGAGGCTGATGCTGTTTGTCTGCAGGATGGGTGGTTTGCGAGGCAGTCTTGGAGCCATGATGATGCTAGGGTAAGACTGGCCGGGGAGGAGGAGTGGCTCTCTACTTCCTGGGCTGGACCGATTGTCGGATGGCATGTGCCGTGGTCGTCTGTTTAGGTTGTGGGCGAGTTGAACGAGATATTCAAGTGATGATTCTGGCTTAGGGACTCATATCTAACCTCGTCGCGAGAAGAGCTCCAGAGCGATGTTACCCTCTCCCCAGCCCGACACGGAAATCTGGAGCGGAGTATCTGGTGCGAAGCGCATCTGCAGCAGTCCAGATACATCTTTGCCGCCGGGCTCATCTAGATCCTTCTTTCGCAGACGCAACGCAGCCCAGAGGAGCTGGCAGGGCCGGCATGATGTGCTCGTCGTGGATCGCTGGAGGTCTTGAAGCTCGATGAACTTGGCCATGCGCTGGTTCGCGGCGAGCTTCTGGCCCTTGACCTCCTCCGCACCGAGGTTGGAACATACTGCGCAGTTCATCTTCCGCGGCTCTTTCTGGCGCATTTTCATCGTACAGGGTTAGAACTACTGACCGCGATGCTAGATCTTTTGGTGGTTTGACTTGATTCGTCTTGGCGTAAGCGAAGTTACTTAAGCATGCCTAGTAAGTGCCCAAGACCTTTTTCAAAGCCCGCCTATTTCAGCTTCATGTGCATGATCTTGGGAATATGCCTGTGGAAGGGAACAAACATTTCGGCTCTTAAGAGGTGGTGACTTTGCAGTTTTGCATACCTTGAGGAAAGCTCTTTGAAAGGCCAAATGACAAAATGAGCGTCTTCTTCGAGGCCATGATGTTCGCAAGACATGTTCTGGACAATACAGCTTGGCCTTTCCAGTCTGGCTGTCTCATAAGTGCAAGACCACCATCTCTGCGACGAGTTTCTCAGTGAGCTGCCACTTTTGGACCCGGATCTCTCATGAGGCATTCCTGTCGTTTACTATTCAGGCAACCTAGTCAGGAGACTAAGTGTAAGTAGCTACTGAGTGAGAGGTGTCAAAACGCCTGGTGCTGTTCAAAATCATCAGCGAGAATCAGCTAAGTTAAAAACCGTGGAAAGCACGCTGCAACTCTGGCCGCAGCAAGGTGTTCCAGAGACGATAGAGAACTACGAGAGGCTTCGAAACAATAACAACAACAATAACAAGTCAGCAGTCGAGTCCATAGCCATGGACGAGAGAGTAAGCTCAGTACAGTGGCGACGAAATCACAACATTCACACATCGATATGGCCATAGATAACACCACAAAGCATCCTCTTCTCAACACGACGTTGAAACGGCCGACTCTCTTCGCCGGGCGCATCGGAACCACCCACAACCTTCCCAAGGACAAAGATGTTCCCGCAGCGACAGCTTCAACCACGTTGTTGCGGGCGCTCAGCCCTGAGAGAGTGCACCGTTACCCTGACCAGTCACCGACCCCCTTTCTTCCTTTCTCCCCCCTGCTCATCCGCAAGGGATGGGGAAAGAGCTTTTGATCACACGGGTTGACGGATCAGATGGCACCTCTCAAAGCTCCGGACTGGGACTTTGCCTCATCCGGAGGGGAAGCCAGGTTCAGCGAAAACGCGGGGTAAAGGAGATTTGATGTGTGGAGGAATGAAAGATGGCGGATCATGGCGCTCGCCGGGCATCTGGGGAAAATGTCTTGGGCTCCTGGCTTTTTTCTCTGGCTTTTTGTACGTAATAGAGACGGCACGGTTTGATGAGCGCGCCGGGCTCCTCCCTTTCAAGCCCAGGGCTTGGTTTGGTGTAAGCCGAGCTTGACGATGGCTTTGTGGCTTTTTTTTTTCCTGGAGGAGGGTTTGCGGATGGGGCAAGTATGGTGGCCACTTAATGCTTCACAACCTGAGATGGGGTAGGTAGATTGCGGGAGGAGAAGTGCGTTCTGTGGATAGTCTGAAAACCTGAGGATTAGATGGGATGACAGCTTTGCGGGCCGCTCCGTTTATCGAGAGTTTTGAAGAGAGCTGGTTTGCGATTTTGGTTGGAGATGCGGGTGTAAGTGGTAATCTGAACTCTGAAGTCGAATATCTTCACAAAAGTATGGCCTTCTCAATTCCTCTCTTTCTCGGCGAGTTCGAGGTTACTCAATGTCTCACAGTCACCTCAGCGACCCGACATTTCATCCAAAAAATGACATTTGTGGCACTTGGTACCTTGATGTCGAATCCAAGACCACACAAAGGTCGTGACTTCAACGTGGCTTCACCATTGAATTCATGGCGAAATTTAGCCAGGAACTCACGTCAACGAGGGTTGGGCAGGCGGGCACCAGACGAGCACCAGACGAGCGAACCGAATGCTGTCAAGCGAGCACGTTTGCCTCGAAACCGAGACGAGCTTCGTCAACGGAATTTCCTTCAAACCTGCAACAGGATCGTGGCATCAGACATGGGCTCAGAAAAGGTCAGCTGACACTCAGAGACGCGACAAACGGATTCCCATTACCCCCAGGAAACTGATGACTGGTCGACGACAGGGTAGATTGGCGGGGGCGGTAATAGTACAAGCGGGCAGGACTCCTTGACGTCGTCGACAAAGCTGTTGGCCCTAGCAAGGGGGGAGGTGGGTGGTGATCTAATAGCGTCCCAGTCTTATCCACTCCGTCCAGCCAAAACATGCCAGCAGCAATCAGGATCAGCTTTTCCCGAGCGCCAGAAACGAACCCTAAGCACAAGGTGAGAGAGAGAGGAAGAAAAATAAAACTCTGCCAGACCAAAGGAGTCACTGCGAAATTCCGTCCAGCACGTTCCACGTTCCTTGCATTAGCCCCGTTTTCCCCAGCTCCCAGCCCTTCAGGCTTGTTTAAAGAGGAGCGTCGTGACCAGCCAGTGGGCCCTCCCGAGGCCGCGCTACGACCGAAAGCGGTAATCTATTAGCAAAACGTTACCCCATCGTTTGCTCCAGAATGGCGTCTTTTCGTGGCGAGAATTTGACAACTGGAGGTTTTTGAAGAGTCACGAGGTCCACCTGGCAGCCAAGAAGTGGAGAGGAGGAGAAGGCGAGAGAGAAAAAAATAAATAAATCACCACTAGGGCGGATGATTGAAACTCGCTTTCTGTCGATGGTAGCTGCTCTCTTGCTCTTTGCTTGGGGTCCGTTGGGGGTGATTTGCGTAGGAATAACAAACAATGCAACGGGCGTTACTCGTTGCTTTTCTGCAACTCTTATCAGTGAGATCATTGAGTGCAACCAAAAAGGTGCTAAACTTGGAACTCTCCGTTTGCTTATTGATGATAACAGAGAGCTCTTCTGTCCGGTTACAATTCGGATGCACTGCCCAGCAGCTTGTGATAAAAGGCATGGGTAGCAGAGCTCACAGCGCGTTTGTTGGTGTTGGTAAAATACCTAGCAACCCGGCGAGGCAGACGGCATATGCAGCATGCCTCCGGCAAAGACCCATGTCTCATACACATCTGACCTGGGAAAAAAGTGAGGGCCAAGGCCAAAGCTACCCGTGAGCCTGGACCCAGCCTAGCTAGCGTAGCTCCTCTCCCGTTGTTTCGGGGCCTCGGGGGCCATGCTAATTTTGCACATCCAGATCTTCTCCGCCTCCTCACTTGTGACTTGCTCGAGAGCAGCCCTTTCCCTGACAAAACTTTTCCTAATGTGGGCTCTCCGGTTTTATTCATTTTTTATTATTTTTCTTTCCTTCTCACACTAAGAAAGAAAGAAAAAAGTCTTGTACAACAGTACGTAGCTACGTACCTGGTGTACCTCTTCCCTCACAAGTGTGAGAAAGCACACCTTGTTCGTTGCGAGTGCAACGCCGTCACTCAGTCCATGGGGCCATGGGAGAGACTTTTGCTTGTCAGGAGGACAATGCAAAGTCCGTGAGGCTAGCCCTCCACCACCTCCTACTCTTCCAAGGACAAACCTATAATAACCTTGGCCTCCTCTCGCTGTTCCTCAGGAGGATCTCCCTCTCCCATCATTGACTCATCCAAGACACATCTCACACATTACCGACTGGTCATCCAAGTCTCCGCATCTGACAGTTCAGACGATACTTCAGTTGACATCTCACTTACACCCATCTCACACCAAACCTCGAAGTGTACAACCACCACCACCACCACCACCACAACCCAAAACACACACACAACACACACACAAAACCCACCAAGATGCCTTCCCAAATCTTCGTCACCGAGCCTCACCCTACCGTGGCACCAAACACCTACATCTACTCCGGCCGCGGCGGCTTCGGCAACATTCGCAAGGCGCCCCAGGTCCTCACCCCGGCCACCGGCATCACCACGCCCCTCAAGCCCGCCGGCAACGGAGACGCAACCCGCCGCTTCTACTCTGGCATCGGCGGCGCCGGCAACCGCCACGAGGCCTCTGAGTGTCTCGTCCGCACCTTTGACGAGGACTTTGACCGCCAGGAGGTTCGCGACCGCGCCGCCGTCGGCCACGTCGGTATCGGCGGCGCCGGCAACGTCACCCGCCGGGTCTCGGACGCTTCCTCCGTCCACAGCGGCGCCTCCGATGAGTCTGCGTCTACTTCGTCGCTCAAGTCTCTCAAGAACCGCGGCGGCAACTTCTGGCGCCGGGTCACCAAGGCCAACTGAGCCGTCTGTACACACCTCTTTTTCTTTTTCATAATCACAACGGCACGGCGTTTTACGGAAACCAAAAAACACACACACGGGAATGAGTTATCAAGGACATAGCGGAAGCGGCCTCGGAATGGCTTGTATTTTCTGGTGAATGGCATGAGAGCGAGCGCGGCGGGACACAATACCCCCAGATACACCCATCTGGTTGTTCAGCAAAGTAGTACTTGGAGGGACCATTTATTGGTTTCCTCTTGAATATCAACAGTTTCACACTTCATTAATGACTTCCACCCTGCTCAACAATGTGAAACAATTTCAACTGCCGGTCAATGAATATCTAAGTGAGCTCGCTCGCATGATTTCTACTCGGTAATCCTGTTTGACTGACCAAGGCATGATGAATCGTAGGGCAGTTTGGTCGTCTTGGTTGATGGAGCCTTGCACTGATCGTATCTCAAATGGCAAGAACTATCGCGTACCGACAAGTCATCACAAACCCTTACAGAAGTCTGAAGATGGCAGCCCCCCAACATTGCGTCTAAAAATGTGTATCCATAGTTTTTTCATCTCGCCCCCACGTGTCCTCCATGGTAAGTAAGTAAGAACCAACCTTAACCGCCCAACAATGATAACCCCCAGTCTCACATCCACAAACCTCACCTTCTCTCACCCGCTCCAACTCAAGGAAACCAACATCACTCATCATGGCTCTGATCGGCAAATTTGCATATATGAATACAACCACACGTATCCGTACGCGCCAGCACTACCTCAGCCCCAGTTCCGTACCCCAACTCCGACAGCAAACCAACATAGAACCGTCGCAGTTCACTTCCACCGGCCGAACCAGAATATCAATTAATATTCGTCCCTCACAAACTCATGGTAATCCCACCTGAAATCTGACAGAAGCATGCGACGAGACCAGGGAAGACCACCGAGCAAACGCTCAGGGCCCATGGGAAACAACAAAGTTATGATAGATAAGACAGAAGAAAAGACGATCATTGACGCTACTTTGGCTAGACACGGAGATAAGGTTGCGGATAGAAATACTGCTACGGTCCAAAGGAAAAAAGAAATGTTTAATACCAACGCAACCCCCGGGTCCCGTCGGACGCATGTCAAGCAACCTGACCACAACCAACCATCTGCCCCTAATTCACGCGGCAAGCTGCATACGATGGCACGGCAATGCATGTTAAAATGCACAAACTGCATAGCTGATCAAAGAGACAACAGGTTCGGGTATCATTCTCAACTTTCTAGCTGACCATTACCTCATATGCTGCCTTTTGCCTACGACAACGGCTCCGCGAATGCCGATGTCTTTTGAGGGTGGGTAAATCTCAAATCCAGCCAATCGTCGTTCTCTCTCTCTCCCAACTTCATGATATCTAAACTCCATCTACTCATCCGGTTGTTGCCCCTTTTGTCTTTCGCTAGGCCCAACAGAACGGTGAACACAGCTCTAGATCTATAAACGTCGACGGGAGGGGAGCCAGTAACGCCATCTGGAAACCGCTTCATCGATATGAATTAAAAACAAGAACCGTCTCACGTAAGCTTGGTGTGAATGATTTCCGGGTTCTCATGCCAGTCGTCGATGCTCACCCACATCTGTTGTAAAAAGGGGTCAGCGTCTGAATACCGCAGTGGACCGAGTCCATATACAACCACGCAAGCAGAATGAAACCTACCTTTCGGAAAGTGCTAAGACCAGCCAAAATACTTCCACCGATCCATGTCGAGTACTTGCGTTCTGGCGGCGCGAAAATCTTTATTCTCATATCCTTGACGGCCAGTCGTTGCAGCTCCGTCAACAGACGGTCACCGAAGCCCCGGGTCAACGTGCTGCCGCCAGAGAGCACGATGTTGCTGTAGAGAGACTTGCGCAGGTCTAGATCCGTCCTATTGATGGCGTCGACGACAATTTGGTGCACACCAGGGTACTCGAGGCCAATGATTTCGGGGTCGAAGAGGATTTCCGGTGCCCTGAACCGTTCCGCACCGATCTGTAAACATAGTCAGCCCACCTATTCTTGCCCTCATCAATCACGAGAAACCGACCTTGAGCTTGTGCCCATCCGGGAGAACATATTCCACGCCCTTGGCCGGGTCTGTCCTGTTTGCCCATTCCTTCTCCTCTTTCCTGGGGTCGTGGGCGACGTAAGTGACAGACTCCTTGATGAGCCGCACAACCTCCTTCTCGGCGCTGGTGTGGAAGACGTAGCCGCTCTTCCGCAGCAACATTTGCATGTACTCGGTCACATCGCGTCCGGCCACGTCTATCCGCCTGATGCTGCTCGGCATGGCGAAACCCTCGTACACCGGCACCGCGTGTGACACTCCGTCGCCCGAGTCGAGAACGATACCGGTCGTCCGACCGCTGGCGTATAATGAAAGAACGGCTTGGATTGATGTGTACAGTGCCGGGACGTTGAAAGTCTCGAAGAGGATCTGGGCCGCTGTGTCGCGGTTGCTGCGAGGGTTGAGGGGCGGTTCGGTCAGGAGAACGGGATGCTTTGGACGGGGGTCAGTATCAGAAGTAGGTACGGTGCGTCTCGCAAATCGAACGAGACATTATCTGTGACAGACGAACCTCTTCACTGAGCGTCTTGAGGCCTTCGCCGTAGACGTATTCCCAAATCTTCTCCATGTCGTCCCAGTCCGTGACGATGCCGTGCTCCAGCGGATACCTGATCTTGAGCAGGCCTCTGAGCTCCGTTGCCGCCTTCTGCCCGATAAACACCTCGCCCTCGAGCGCGCCGGCGAGAACTCTTAAGTGCTTGGGCCGACCGACGAACGAAGGGAAGTAGCATTTAGGCAGGTCATCTCCTGCGAAACCGGCTCGGATCGTACCGGAGCCATTGTCCAGGACAATTGGCGCGTTGTGCAGCGAATCCGTCATCTTGTGAGATGCATTCAAGAACTCAGAGCAAACGAGTATCGGCTGTATACACCTCGAGCCTTTTAGCCCTCACGTTTCCCCTGGTGCTGGTCGTTTCGTTTCGTTTTCGCGGCGAAACCCCTTTGTTTGTTGATCGGGCGGTGACTGCAAGTGGGAGCGGTTCGATGCTAGATGGCTCGATGGCAGTCAACAGAAAGCCGTACTCGAGCTTGATGACAGTTCGTTGGCACCTGACTGTCAGGTATTGTCGCAGGATCGTGGTCGCAGTTGCTCGCCTTGGGAGGTGTTGGTGTTGTCAAAATGGTCAAAAGTGGCAGCTTCAACACGACGCGGTAGCAGTCCGGGGAGCTGCATGGGCGGGAATGAGGGACTAGGACAAAAGTGGAGTAGCGCACTTCGGAGCTTCCATGCACGGGCCTCTCAGGGTCTCTTGTAAGTTGTAAGTGAAGTCAAGAAAGTAGAACTTGGGACGATGCAGAATCCAAGGTTTTCAGCGCACTTGTGAAATCACTGAAATGAGTCTGATGTTTCTTGATTTGAAACTTAGTTCAAGACGATATTTTATGTGGGTTTTTCGTTTGAACAAAGTAAATTATGTATGGTCCGTATGGACTTCTACTGATGCTGTAGGTATCCAAGAAGCCCCCCCGAACGCCTTCAGATGCTTGAGATATGTACTGGTATCTCCTGAATGTCCCAAATTTCCAAATGTAACCTCCAACTCCTTATTTCGTTGTTGCCAATCATCCCGTGATGGGAATGGATTAATCAAGCGGCTGTCTACATGTGGCCGTCGACAAGCAGCATGCTGGCGTAGGGCCAGCCGAGAATGCCGAAAGCAAGAGGGAAGAACCTGTTTAATGCAATGTTAGTCACTGTTGTCACTCGCACAATCAAAGACTGTGATAGCTTCTTACATTGCTGCGGTGACGGCACGCTTCTTAATCATGGCACCGTAGTAGGGCTTGGCGTGAACACCAGTCTGGGACATCCTCTGGAAGGGATGGGGCTCGAAGGAGCGGGCGACGTTGCGCATGTTGTGGAGGAGAGTGAATTGTCTGCGCTGAACAGCGAAGCGAGCAGCGTTGCGGGCGGCGAATGCGGGAGACATTTTGAGTGATGATTGGAGGGTTGGTTTTTTTTTTGGTGTTGAGTCAAGAGACTTCTGTTGCTTTGATGGAGAGGAGTGAGGTGGAATGTAATACACTCGTACAGAAGATGTAGTGGAGAGTTTGTTTGGTGGTTGAGTTGAGACTCTGTTTGATGATGTTGATGTGTGATGATGATGAGAACGGGAATGGGAACACGACAGACGGGAAGCTGCTTCGGATCTTATACCAAGGAAAAGATTGTGCCTCCAACCCGCATACCTACGAGATCTGTGAATCTTGACAAAGGACTCCGGGATTTCCAACGGCAAACGCCTATTGTGGGCAGATGGGCGGGCAGCTTTGCCCGTAAGATTGCCGTGCCTGGGCGGGAACGAACGAGGCTTCTAATCTGGGCCGGGTCAAGATCATGCCATCCCATCTTCTAAACGGATCCCCCAAAAGCCAGGGCCAAGGGTTTGGATTTCTGCGGCACCAAAAAAAGGTGTGAATCATGAACGACAACTTTGTCTCACCCAATAGGCGCAGCCGCGAAAGGGGCGCTTGGTAACGTGGTTCGCAAAGCCCGAATTGGGGAGACCCATTTGGAATCCAGCCGTTGGCAACCAAGAAAAAAAAAACTGACGTTGGGCGATCGTGCGTTTCCAGATGGTTTCCTGACGACTGCCAACAGTAATGGGGTGATGTGGTCTGACGGGAGACACCGAGTACGAGCGTTGATTGGGCAGAAGCGGGGCGAGGAATCCTGTGCCAATGACATGATCACCATTTCCTTCAGCTATCGAACCACAGGCCCCGACCGGCTGGGTGCGCTGACGAGGGTGAATCCGGGGAAAGATTGACAGCTGCCTTGCTTCCGAGTCGACAGATTTGTGTCCTTCAGATCCCGAAAAGAGTAGATCATAACCTTGAGATGAACAATCATGATCCAAAGAAGGTAACTCGTGAGACACTTACTTTTGTTCTACTTACATATGAACAGAACGTGTTGCAGATACGTACCTTACCAGAAGCTCCCACAACGGTTCCCCCAAGCAGGGCAAGAGGAACAGTGTAAGTGTCCTAGGTACTTAGGTAAGCGAGCCAGTTGATGAATCTGGGGTTTGTTATCAGACCCTTCGCAGCTTATCGCCATGTGACCCGGTCGGATCCGAATGCACGGTACCCGCGCCTCGACGCGCCCGTTCCGGAATTTTTCCAGAGCCGTGGCCTTCCGGGTACCCGTTCACGAACTCAACCCGCAACTTACCTCAGCTTCCGACCGAACGACAGGAGACTGGGCCTCCGAACCCGCCCGAATACATCGCCTCATTCCCCTACCCACGCCATGCCACTGGTTGACCCCGTGACGATGTCAGCACCATCATCATCAAAGGCCGCCTCCGACGCGGGCAAGCCAAAGGACAGCGGATTGCATCCCGTCCACGGCCTGGCGAGCCCTGCCGCGCAGGTCGTCAGACACCTCCAGCCGGTGCTCATCTCCGGCTTCTTCCTCGCGCAGTTCAGCTCCCTGGTGGCAGACCCCGTGAGAACCCTCCAGAAATCGCTCCCGGTCGTTGTCGCGATCCAGGTCGTCTACGCCTTTGTCAGTCTGCCGGCCGCTGGATCGCAAGGCGTAAAGCTGTCGAGGAAGCCTCGGCCGGGCGAGAAGAAGAAGGTGGTTGAGAGCACGGGGCCCAATATCTTCATTGTAAATCACGGGTTCAGTCAAATCGTGAGGCCATAGCTAACAATGGGACTCCTTTCAGGCTCTATTCCTGTCCCTACTCCTCGCTGTCATCGTCACGCCAGCCATCCACATCGTCCTCGTCCTCTTCGGCGCCCCCTTCCAGACCCACGTACCGCATACCCTCTTCTGCTCCGTCAATATCGCCATTCTCTCGTTCTTCCCGCTCTTCTACGTTCACGGAGTCGATGGGAGCACCTGGGCTGCTCTCGCCAGCGCGGCGGCACCGATGGACGAACTATACGGTGGTCTCGTAGGAGGGGTGTTGGGCGCGTGGCTCGGCGCAGTGCCCATTCCGCTCGACTGGGACCGCGAGTGGCAGAAGTGGCCCGTCACGATTGTCTGCGGCCTCTACGGCGGATACATCTTGGGCAAGACGACTGGTGGCACATTGGCATTTGGCAGGAAAATGGCTCCCTCCGCCAACGACGACGAATGAACTCCTAAGGCGCTTAAAGCCAAGTCCAACCTACAAATTTAATTTTTTTTTAACAGGCCGTAGATGGCATAGTTCGCGGAAATACGGCACCGCTTGCGCAAACAGCCGTTTGGCGAAAGTACGGACCTCGCTGCTTTGGTCTATACTCCAAGCCAGTTGTGTCATGCCCAATGCTAAACCAACACTGGCCGGTGGTTAGTAGCCTCAGACATGCATGTCTAGGCAGTTTGGCAGTCTGGGATTGCCTATGACAGCTAGTCCAATGCTGTTGGCCAGACCTGGCTTTCGTGGGGAAGCCGATGTACAGTAGCTAGAGGCGATTGCCAATGAGGTAGCTTGGCCCGGCCGAAACAAGAAATAAACATGTTAATAATAGCCTCGGATCTGGGAATTCAACGGAAACGCGAATGTGACACTACATCATCGCCCCCCTTGAGCCTCAAGCGTGCGCAAGTGTGGCGTTCGTTGCGACGAAATCGCAAAGTTGACCAAGGCACGCAATATCCGTCGTGGCACACCTCACAGTTACCAGCCACAGCTAGCCTTGCCGCAAGCTGCCGGTCATGCCCAGCCCTACGAGCTCGGAGCGAGGGCGAGATTGACGATTTTGACGTCTTTTCGCCGCCCACGTTGACTGTTCCCCGTTGCAGAGCGGAGACAGGCCGCGTCTCCTCCCTAGCCCTGCGAGCTGCCGAACCGGCTTGGCCCTCTTGTCACCGGGCATGACCGGGCCCCTTGCGTCATAAGTCACGAGGGCCTTGGGTTTCATTGGTGAGACATGACTGTCAGGTTTTCCTGTGCCGTCCAGGGAGAAGGAGAAGTAGGACGAACGAAGAAAAGGAAATCTTCAGATGGAGGAGAAGAACCACTCGGATCGCCAGTGCGTTGCGTCCTTCTCCGCAGCGAGCGCGGACGGACCGATGTCCGCTGGAGAAAAGAGTAGCATCAACCTTTGACTTCTTGAGTTGTTGGGGGCCTCGACATGGACAAGACAGGCAAACCCTGGAGTGAATCTGTGGCTGAGTCGTCACTGTTGCGCCATAGATCAGCTTTCGAGGTGTGGCGTTTGTGGCTCATGAAACGCTCCTTGAGGCTTGAGTGCTTGACAGATGCATGGGAGGTCCCCTGACCTGCTCGGAGCTGTTTTGACTGGATGACGATAGGTGGAGCCATGAGCAAAAGGAGCAAAATTAAGAAGAGCGGACCCCACCAGCGCGGCGCTAGCAAGGGCTCGGTTGATGACGTAGCACCCACCTTTATCGCGTCCACCGAAAAGAGTTCACCCAGCTAGGGTGCAGAGGTACATGAGGAAGCAAGCATAGGGATTAAGCAGGAATTAACTGTGCAAGTTGCTCAACAAGGTCGCCGGACTAACCGCACAGGGCCCCTCAATGACGGCGGGAAGGGCTGGGCAAGAGGGATGGAAGGACGCGCAATAGGGCTCGATGCAGTAAGGACAGATCGGAAACCGAGGCCACCGTGAATGAAGACGATCAAGCGAACAGCGCGAGAGTGCAAAGAGGGAACCTTACAAGGGACGTAAGGTAGGGGAGATCTCAGATGTTTGCTGTGGATGGAAGCGAGTTTCGGAGGCCGGGCAGGCATCAATCCTCGTCAAATGGGATTCGAGAAACCTGGCAGTGTGCACTGAGAGGTCCGGTGTAGCGACAAAGGCATGACAGGCAGCAGGAAGGCCCAGATGCCGTGTGTCCCAGTACAGATGCAGAAAGAGTATCCGGTACGGTGATACGTTGTAAGGGGCTCACATCTGGTCCGCTCAGGTGCTTGTTTCCGCAGGAAGGAGAGCCTGCAGCAGTGCAGCAGTGCAGAGGAGCAGGCCGGGGAGGAAAAGAGACAAGGTCATTGCTAAAGTGGGCGGAGGTGTGGCTTGTCCGTAACGCACGGCAAGAAGCCATCCCATCTTTTCCCCCTTCTCTCAAGGCGTAAAAGGCCTGGCCAGAGGCCCAGAGCTTGCAGTTCGTGTGGCCGTGTGCTGGTCCTGCCGCTTGTGCCTTATTTCCCTTGCCGCAGCAAACCGGGAATGAGTCGATGACGCAAGTCCTCTCTCATACCACACCCCCAAGCCTTTCCCGGCACGACCAGACGCTCTTGTTGCTTGTTGGCTCGTCTTGGGAGGCTGCGCTTGGGTACTTTGGAGGGGGAAGACATGTCTGCCGGGCCTCACTGGCCTGCCACCTGCGACTGGCTTGTCCCTTGTCAGACGTATCCGTAAGGTAAAGGTAAGGTCAGGTTGGTATGGCGTACGAAGTACGAAGTAGAGCGGGAAGGGGTGGCCATGCAAGTCCACATCACATCACTGTGAGCTCGTCCTTGCCTTTTTTTTATTTTTCCTGCGTTGGGCTGTGGCTTCCCAGTTGGCAGTTGCTCTCATTCCTGCTATTTAACCATCTCTTCCCCAGCCCACTTACCATTCGATTCCCCTCCCCTCATCAACCAACGAACCTACATTCGACAGCAACCATCAGATCTTCAAGATCCCGTAACGAACTACTCTACACAAACACACAAACACCGTTTCTCAACACAATACACCAATCAACATGCCTTTCACCGCCTCCGATATCTGCAAGATCATTCTTGCCGTCATCCTCCCGCCCGTTGGTGTCTTCCTTGAGCGTGGCTGCGGTGCCGACTTCTTCATCAACATCCTGTTGACCATCCTTGGTAAGCTCGATGTCCTTCAGACACTTCGAACTCAACTAACAAAAGCAGGTTACCTTCCTGGTATCATCCACGCTCTGTACATCATTCTGAAGTACTAAGCGAATCGTCGCTGCAATTCTCCGATCGTAACCGCCTACACGAGAGGGCATGACGATGTTCAGCAACGAAAGCGACATGACCTCTTCTCTCAAGGATGTGCAACTACGCCTTCGCCTTCCCGACGAGTGTGACGCCGTAGGCGGTGGCGGGGCATTCCAGCGACCTTGGCTTTCCGTCTCATCCGGCAATGCTGGGGGATCCTCCTGCGCCAGCTGCAAGGATGCATGCTGCTCTGCAGGGTTGGCTTATTACCCCTACCTCACCAGCCTCCACCACTTTTTATTACGACAACGACACAGCAACGGCCTCTTTTCATAATTCCTCGCGGTACCATTCTATGGACTTTGTCACGTTACTTCTCACCTTGCGGAATGCGACTTTTCGAAACGATTTGTTTTGGGCAGGCATTCAAGACCAGGAAGTGGAGGAGGGATTCGCGCTGTGTGTAGCATGCTTAATTCGATACCCGACATATCAATCTCTTCAAACTACTTTACTACAAAATCTTGACCGTGGTTTTACGCCATACGTACATTGTGATGTGAATTCAGGCTTCCGACCATGCCGCAGCCTGCAGAACACAGTCAGCTGTGCTCACTACGCGGTTGGACGTCCCCGCTAAACCACTAAACCAATAGTGTAGATCCATGTGATGTCATGCTTGTCGCATTGAAACATTTACAACTTAGGCCCAGAAAGATTCTAGATCACCGTCAGAAACATCCGACTTTGCGACGCTACTTTGGAGCTTATTTCCTTTGCGATGACTGCGCTCAGATGAGTTTGTGAGTGCAAAATAACCTTGGTTCTGTCACATTGAACTCAGCCCAAGCAAGGGAATAAGCAAGCCAATGGCCCCCAAATTGCTGTTGATCCGCCCTATTGCTCGCAGTCTGCCTCGCGGGCACCCCGTACGGTATTATACAGCAGAACGTTCACTTGCAACATGGGAAAACCGCCAGCGCAGCGGGAGCCGAGGGACGCGTATGCAACTCGGATGTAGAAGAGCTCGGCACTGCGGGTACGGTGTATCTTTGGGAATCGGCGCGAAGCCAAAGGCGTCCGGGGCCAGTGGCTTGGATTTTTGGAAGAAGAGCTCCGCTGCCCGAGCTCCATTGTGGCTGGCTGGCAGCAAGCGCCGCTGCGCCGGTGGGACAGGGGGCCCGCCCTGTATCCCTGTCTGTTAGTTTAATTGCATTTTGTTAGGCGCAGACCGCACGCAACCCGTGGTCACTGGTGAGGGTGGAATCGAAAAAAAAAAGAGAGAACGAGATCGCGCGGGTATGGCCGCGAAGCGCGAATGCGAAAAATAGAGGTAGAGCAGAACATCACAAGAGGGAACACGATCCACATTGCAATGACTCGAGTCCGAAATAGTGCTTCAAGATTTCTATCCGTACTCCGTACTGCATACGGCAGTCCTGAGCTTTTTGAAATTTCTTTATTTCATTCTTTTCGAGGCCCGCCTTGAATGGTCCCCTTGGCCCCAGGTGATCGCTCTCGCCTTGCTGGGCTAGGGGGGCGGTTGTTCCGGAGTACCCGCCTCCCAACTCTATATGGAGCTTTTTTCAACGATTTGCGATGAACCCCCTTCCATCTTTCCAAAGGGGAGCCCAGTCACGGGGAATCACAAATGTCACTGGGTACTTCCCAGTTTATGCGGTTGCGATGGGAATGAGGCAGGCACTCTGTCGGGTAGAGCAGAGATAGCCGCGACCCTTCATCAAGCTCTTCCGACCTTAAACGACAAGATCTGTGTGTGAAGATAACGTTAGCCCAAATGTTGCCGAGGAGACCTGTGTGCGTGAGTATCAAAAAAAGAGGGGGTCACACTTACATCGTTCTTGCCAACCGTGACGAGGTGGTCTTCCGCAACTCTTAGGCCGCCCACGCCCTCAATATACGCAATGGGCGCGTCGCCCATGACCTTGCGCGCCGCCTCGCCGACCGTGGTACCCTTCTTGACCAGCACGCAGTCCCGGAAGACAAACTTGGACTCGGCAGCGCCGGAGGAGAAGGAGGTGGTGTTGCGCACCGGGAACACCGGGACGAGGCCCAGGATCTCGGCCGCCTTGGAGAGCACCTGCACCACGCCCGTCGACCCGAAGCGGTAGAGCACCATGTCCTTGAGGTTCTCTATCCGGTTGCGGTTCTTCTCGTCCAGCTCCTTAAGCCCCCCGCCCGTCGGGTCCCCTTGCTCGATCAGGTCCTCCCGCGTGTCGACGAACTCGCTGCCTTCCGTGTACTGGACGTACCCTTGCTTAGCCATCTTGCGCAGGAAAATTTCCGAAATGGCGGAGCACAGCACGATGGTGTTGGGGTCCTGCATCTTTGCGATTTTGGCAATGTTCTTGTCGGCGTCCGGGTGGTCAATCTTGTTGAGCGCGATGACGGTCGGGAACTTTTCGTCGGTAAAGGCGTTGACGACGCGGTCAATCGTCTCGGCGTCCCAGTCCTCGAGCGGCTCCTTGATGCCCAACCGATCCAGCGCCCGCGCGACAACGTTGGAGGTACTGCCGTATCCCGAAAACTGGCCCTGCAGCGTATCGACGGCCGTCGCCTTGATCGCCATGTGCCGCCGCCGAATCGACCCCCACTTCTCCATCAGATTCCCGCGGATCCAGGCCACGATCTCGCCGCGCAGCCAGGCGATGTCGACCGACGGGTCGTAGCCGCGCGTCTCTTTGCCCTCGGCATCGACGGTGCCCGAGGCGTCCACCACGTGTATCAGCGCGTCGGCGTGCCGCAGGTCGTCGAGGAACTTGTTGCCGAGGCCTTTGCCCTGGTGCGCTCCGGGGACGAGGCCGGCGACGTCGAGGAGCTCGATGGGGACGGAGCGGCGGCCTTCGATGCAGGCGCCGTAGTTGGGTCGGCAGCGGTCCGAGACGCCGTGGCGCGCGCAGGCGCATTCTATTTGGAGGTAGCCGATTGCTCTTTGGGGATCGATTGTCGTGAATCTGTGGCGGGGGGCGCGCGCGAGAGGGCTTAGTGTTAGTACAAAAGTTGCTTTGAGAACAAGGTTGTCGCGAACAACCGCGATTATAGGACGGAGACGGCCAGGACAGGGAGAAGAGGTAGGGCGTACGGGAAGTTTCCTGTTTTCACGATATATCCATCAGCGACCAGGTCGGTGGGCGTCGGGTTTTCTTCTTCTCTCTCGGTCGAATGGATTTGGAGGTTTACGGACCAACTTTTGACGAGGCGTCTGTGAGACTGTTGAGCGTCGTGCTCTTGCCGGCCGACGGCTTGCCGACCAGACCAATGAGCGGATCTCGAGGCATCTTGTCGGTAATGTGAGGTAAGGTAAGTGAAGCGGAGGGCGAAAGAAAGGGGCGGCGAGTCTCCGTCTGCAAACTGATTATATGCTTGGTCCCTCGCCGGTCTCGCGGTAGGTGGGCTCAAAAGTCGTTCGAGGGGTAATAAGTTTGCGAAAGGGCGTTGCGCACACAATCTTATCCTTATCGCCGAAACCTCGCTAATGCAATGAGGGGCAGTCCCGGTTGTCGGCGATAAGTCTTATCTGGCGGGAAATGACGTAGGCGTTAAACCGGGCATCCACCGACCCAAGACCACTTGGAGAATACCTACCATAGAATTGATCGTGTGATCCTCACAACATAGCATTTTAATCCATTGCGCATCAATTAACCATGATTCAGGTCAAACGTTCCTAAATGACACCAAATTTCGTCAAATTTGCTTGTAGACAGCAGCTGTCACCGTAGATGAGCCGGAAACCGACTCTGCTCTCTCAGCTGGTTCCTGAATACGCATCCAGATGGCCTTCATCCGGTATGGGTACGTACCAATGAAGGAGTGATTCACAACAAGCAGCGTCCGTTGTAGTCGATGGCCGAGCGGTACGATTCTATCGTATGTTGGCTCACGGTCCTACATAATGCCATGGATAGCTTGTTTTTTGTCCCCCTCGTAGAGCTCACGAGTTCGAGTCGACTGTGATCTTTCTTTTTTTTCACAAACACTCCAGGCACATGCTCAAATCTGCATTCTGAGCGGTCAAATCCTGCTAAAAAGGAAAACCTTCAGTCCCGAATTCTAGACTTGGAATATTTTACTTTGAAGATATCTTGATTTTCATCATTCTGGCCGGTTCCGGTTCAACCTCTCCTCGCAAACAAAAGGTTGACCTCCCACCAAAAGAAGTGCCTAAAACTTCTTATACTTGCCATCGACAAAAGTAACCGTAGAAGGCAAATCCCGCGCACCTTCAGCGAGCTCCAAGTAAAAACGTCCCGTTAGATTCAGGACCAGGCGTATCCCCAATAAAACTCCCATCCTCCTTCCTCTCGTCAGCATAAAAGAACCTCCACCCCTTGGACGCCTTATACAGCCCATCAGCAACATTCACCCAATACCACGCCGCATTCTTGCCAACCCCGAGCGTGACATACTCTGCCAACGGCAAAATCGTCTCGTTCAAAAAGTTTCCCGTGTAAATAAACCTCCCCTTCTTCGCCTCCTCCTCCCCATCACCACCAGCCTCATTCCACCCCTTGACAACCTCCCCAGCAGCAACCCACGCAGAGGTATTCATCACCGTCCCATCCCTCTTGTACGCCTCACGCAACATGCTAAACATGTTATCCGCGTCGGGCGGCGAGCTCACGGTAGCCGCGTTGTAGACCACCACGCGCGGCGCCCGTCCGCCGAAATGGCGCCTTGTTTCGGCGAAGGCGGAGACGACCTGCGCCGGGTCGGCGAGGTCGGCGCGGATGCGGAGGTGGCGGTGGGGCCGCCTTCGGGGGGCGGGAAGCTGCGGGAGACGAGGGCGATGGCGTAGCCTGCGGTGGAGAAGCGGGATGCTACGCCGGCGGCGATGTTGCGGCCTGCGCCGAGGATGAGGAGGATTGGTTTGTTGGACATTGTTGGGTTTTCTTTGGGAAGTTGATATGAATATGAATTCTAGGTTGATGGAGGAAGAGGGCGGAGGATATTGGTGTTATTTGAGATCTGATGCTGGACGAGGTTCTCTCCTCTTCATCTTCGAGACCATCCGATGCCTCTTCATTTTATATGTTCTTTTCCTCCTGCCAATTCCTCACGACTCGTTCGAAATGTATCTATCTTGTACCGGCTTACGCATCATATTACCATCACTAGGGGCGTAGCCAGTAAGGCGGACGAGTATACGCATTGCTCGATACGGATACCTCCATCCAACATTAACTACGTTTACGTTTACCTGAGATGGAGGTTTCCATAGTGGGATTGATAATTACCCCCGCGCGGGCTAGATCATCGATTAGGCAGCCGCGCATTATTAACGTTAACCGAATTTCCAAAGCACTCTAATTCAAGCACAGTCCAAGTTTTCCGACCCATCCAGTCGGACAAACATAAAAAAGTACCGGGTCTCGATTCCTCCATCATCGTGTCTTCCAGACATGTCTCCCTCTTCACTCACCTTGACTCCCAGGTACTATTGGGATATGCACGGAATCTTCCGTGAAGATGGCGTGCTTCTTTCCTCACATGTCAGCATGCCTACGTCCTATCCGCACGACAAATTACCTGCCTTCATTTGCACTTCGTCCAACCTGCGCCTGTGCCCCAGCGCCAGCGCGCGCGAGAGCTTTACTAATCCACAGACAAAGAGCCACCTCACTCGACTACATTTGATATAGCACTGCGGCTGCAGTCATCATGGTTGATAAATCGTAAAGGGCACGAGTGTGACCCTGGAAGCCGTTTCCTGTATTCCCAAGTTATGCTTTGATGACGGAATAACCTCATGTCCTTCAATTTCACAATTCTGCTGCCCCCTTCATCTGGGAATGCACTTCACATCGTTTGATCAAAGTCATCAGGGCGAAGTAGAGGTTCCATTATCCACGACTACTATTACAGTCAAAACCCCTAATGGTATCTGCCATGCATCACGGCTGCTCTTCAAAAAAGAAAAAGAAAAAAACACAGCAGCCCAATATCGAGAATGTGGTATCAACCAACTGTGTCGCGCGTTCCAAACCTATTCCATGCCTTCTTCCTTCGGCACTGCCTCAACTCAACATGCTCAATTGAGGTCATGCTGTACTGTTGTTCCATCCCCCCCCCCCCTCCTCCACCTCGAAAACATCGCTCAAACGCAAAAGCCATCAATTGCGTGTCATGTCGTCGTTAGGCTGAGTAGCGAACCAAATCCCACCCCATCATCCCCTTCCGCTTCATCCCTGCGGCTGTACAACTTTCCCCTTCTTTTTGGTTGGTTGCCGCTGCATCTCTATAGCAGATGAAAGAATCTGCTTCCAATATGTTCAATGATTATAGCTGATCATGTGGTTGAAGCTATCCAGTAGCATCAACTCATGTGGTAGTGCTTATTTTGTTTGTTGTACGCAAACGATTCTCTGTAGCGAGGAATCTTTTTTTTTTTTGTTGTCTAAAAGGTGTCGGTCTCGTTGCTAGCGACAGTGCCAAAGGTGTCTAGATAGTTAATTAGCTTGTGGATCGAATTGCTGTTGGCAGAGCGTGCTCACCTCTCTTGCGACGTCGCTCCTCTCTGGCGGCTTCTTCCTCTGCACTCTTGGGGGTCATGGCCCGGGGCCCGGAAGGCCTACGCGCAGGCATGCCACGGGCACCGCTGAGGTTGCGGTTCTCCGGCTTCGGGCTGCCGGTGTAGTTGCTAGTACTGGCGGCATGTGTGCCAGGGCCGGTACCGTAGCCACTCTCAACACTGTTGTAAGGAAGGGGACTGCTCTTCAAGGCCAAGTTGGAGATGCGCTTCTTGGCGGGCGTGTGGGTCATCTCATCCATGGGCTCTTTAGGCGGCCTGGGTGGGCCGGCGGGGGAGGAGGTGTAGTAGTCACCGCCCGTCGCGGGGGAGCCATTGCTATTGCTATAGCTATTGGCATTTGGGGGGGGGAAGCGGTGCAAGCTAGTGGCCGAGCCTGCCCAGTCGGCAGATCTGGGGGACATTGGTGTGTCGTAGTCGTATGCTTGGCTTTCGAGGTTAGCCTTGAACCTCTCGGTTTGTCCTTGACGAGGCTGGGGGTGTTGAAGATTGACCGAGTTGCGGTGCGCCTTGTACTTGGGGTCCTCCGGGGTCATGTAGGTGGCAGGAGGCTCTAGGTGCGGGGCTTGGGGAGCTGCGAGATCCTGCTGGGAGAAACCAGAGTGCAGTTGGTCACTGCCACCAAAGTCATTCTGGTATCGGTCATCGTATCGGAGATCGGATCCGGATCGGGACGGAGGGTGTTGCAGGAATTCGTCATCGTGTTCCTTCTTGCTCGAGCCGCTGCCGCGGAAAGCCTTGCTCACGCTTGTAGCCGTCGACTCAGACCACCGAGAAATCTTGGGGAACCAACTCGATGACCCTCTCTTGTGCTTCTTGCCCTTGTCCGTCTTTGGAGTGTTGTCATTGCTCAACGATGCGTTCTGAGCGGCCATGGGCTGGGGAGGGGTGCCCAAGGGCACGGAACCGCCACGCTGGAACTCCCGAGTCGGCGTAAGCATACCCTGTGGCTCATGGCAATTGTTCTGGGAGATGTAGTCCTCCTCCTTATCTTCGTGGACGGTGCTGATACGGTTGGGTTCGTAGGCCATCTTGGAAGGGCCGCGAGATTGAGCAAATGATGACATCCCAGAGTGACTGCCCTGGCTAGTACTGGAGGTGCCAGCCTGGCCTTCGGGCTCGTAGCCCCGATCTTGCTCATACTGCATCTCCGGGGTGAGGTTCTCGTAAGATGGCCGGCCGCTAACCATGCCGGGTCTCATGGTCTGTGCCTTGAGTGTATCAACCTCCCCCAGTAGCTGCATGAGCATATCCTCGATTCTGCTGAGATCGTTGGCGCCCTTATTGCCGAGGCCCTTGAGCGCTTTGCGGAAGAAGTTGGTCTTCTTGGCGGTATCATCGAGGGTGCTATTCTGAGAGGCAGCGCTGTAGCCTTTGATAGAGCGAGGGAGACTGCCAGGGTAAGCACGGGAACCGGCGACGGCGTTCTTGACCGTTTCGTCAGTATTCTCCTGAACCTCCTTGATGATAACGTCCTCGGTGTTGGCTAGAAGTTTCTTGAGGTCATCAAAAGAGTTGCGCATTTCGGCCGCAGAGCGGACCAGCGTGACGAGGATCTCGGTGTCACGAGCGCTTCGTTGAGCATCGCGGACCATGAGCTGAGAGTATGTTAGCCATTTCCTTGTCAATTTCATACTAAGCTACTCACATGTTGCATCAAAGCAATAATGTCCTTGGATTCGATCCTGTCGATACCGTTGCCAGTGGCAGCATCATACAGCGGCGAGTTCATGCCCTGGGAAAGACCACTCAGGTGCCGTGAGTGTTGAGGTGCGTAGAAAGGGTCTTCCGCGTTCATATCGCCAAAGGGCATCATGGCCTTGCTAGTGGGCTGCATATTGGGCGAGTGAACGGGACCTTGCGAGATGTAGCCCTCATCCAGATTCTTGTGCCCACCCGGACTATTGGCGTGGTACCCAGCAGCATAGTCTTCGAATCCTCTGCCACCAAGCAGGTCCGGGTGATCAACGGGGCTCGCGCCATCATAGGGGTTCGTAATGACAGTATCACGCTTCCGCTCAGCCGACGTGCGCCGCCACTCGTCCTCATGCTCTCCACTGGCTTGTCGGTGGTGAGCCATGGCTGCACCGGCGGCGGCTCCCATGGCGGCACCGGCAGCGGCCATCCCATAACCACCGTGGCCGCGCGGGCTGTGCTTTTCGGAGTTGTACTCCTCGAAGGATTGATCGTAGTCGCTCTGGCGAGGCGTGCCTTGGCGAGGGGTTATGTCGCCCGGCCAGTGGTCCCCATCGTCGTGGTCGCTGCCTCCGAGCGGCTCGCGGACCAGCGACGGGTTGGTCAGAGCATCGTCGTCCACGTAGCCGACCTCGGGCATCGGATCGTCAAAGGTCGGCATGGCACTAGCACCCATCTTGGGCTTGTCCTCAAGGTCGAGACGGTCGACACTGTGCGCCGGGGTGTTTGCAGGCTCGCGGCCCTCCATCGCTCGCTGCTTGAAGGACTTGTTCCTTGTGACGCCTTCGGGAACCCATTCTTCAGCATGTTCCTCGTCAACCTCCTCCACGGTCGGTTGCTTCGTCTTGTCCTTGGCAGCCTTGAGAGCAGCAGCTGCTGCGCCGACAGCTCCCGCGGCAATCGCCTTCTCGGAGGCAGTGGGGGAGTGCCGTGTAGACGTAGAAGGGGAGTTCCCGTACCGAGCAGGAGCAACCTTTCTTCCATACTCGTCAAGGTCGTACTCTCCAGCGAATTCTCTCGATCGGTGGCTCTGGCGGCTCGAAGTCGGGGTGCGGCTGCTCTCGCGCTCACGTTGCTCGAAGAACTCCCGCTGGGAGGCGACGGATCGCTTTTCAGGGCTGACGTCCCGCGAACGGGGCTGGATGTTGGACTGGTCATCGTAGGAGACATTGGAGTCTTTGGCGTACGAAACGTACGAGTCCGGCCCATACGAAAGATTGGATTCGTTGCCGTACGATACCTGGGAGTCCCTATAGTCGTATCCGGAACCCGTGGTGAGTTGAGAGTCAAGCATTGAGCCGTCGACGAGTGAGGCTACGTTGGACTCGACGCCATTTGGCACATGGATGATGTTAGGGTTCGCAGCAATACCGCGAACGGCCTGGCCGGTCGAAGTTCCGATCTCGCTGCCCTCCGTGTACTGACTATTACGGTAGTCTTGCCCGCTGCTTCTGACGCTGCGATCATCCACAGACTGCTCATCGAAGCCCCGACTCATCACATTGCTTGGCACTGAAGCTGGAGAGAAGGCTCTCAGATCGGTGTGAGACGCTTGAGACTTGGTAGGCGACGCGGTCCCATGCGACATCCTAGAGTCACGCTGGGCAGCCGTTTCGCTACCAGCCTCCGTGTAGCCGGACACACTGTAGATGGGGCTCAGCCCACGCCTCTCTGGCTGATAAGGGACGTATTTCAATGGAGGCGGCACATCCTGCGTGTTGTAGTAGTCGTACTCGCCAGAATCCACATAGTCGGCTTCGCTCTCCGTAAGACGGCTTCGATCATCGTAGTCGTCATATTCATCGCGGATTTGTGAAGAAGGGCTTTGGCTGATCTCCGATAACTCGCTCTGCTCCAAGAAATCTCCAGTTCGTGTCCGAGAGAGTTCTCTCAAATCGCCATGAGAAATGTTGGCGTGCTTCGTGCCTAGAGTCTGCTGCAAATTGGTTATTGGTGCTGGTTGCGTTGGCGTAGGCGAGGAGCCAAGGGAGGCGTTGCCCCTGGCAACCTCCTG